CTATTTTACAGTCTTATCGAATCTGTTCTCTCTATGTCTTACTTTTTACAAACGCTAGATGCCTTTTTAATAGTGGTGTAGTCTAGTGTTGTGATGTTGTGTAGATCACTCTTGATTGAATTCCCCTAAAGGCATTCTTGAATCTGATTGTCAAATGAATGGAGCTATCTTCTCCCGATGTCATGATTCTATGAAAGGTGAGCAATTAAGACACGTCCATTCCTTCTGGACAATCTTGCTGGGTTGAAACACGCATTGAACCCACTTATACCCCACTATCATAACAATCTGTTTAAAGTGCGAGGGTTTTCTCTCTGACTCTACTTTACCAGTTGTCCCACCTGGACAATGACAGGCCACATTTTCTTCTAGTTCTAGCATCTGCGTTTGTCGCAGCCGCGACCTGCGAATCGTGGCCGCGATTTTTGCATTTTTCCGCCAAAAAAGAAATCCACCCCCACCCCCCCCCAAAAAATAACAATAAAAAATGAAATAAAACCGCAGGGAATAAACATCTAAAAAAGAGAGGAATGAATATCGGGTTAAAAGGAAAAAAAAAAAAAGAAATCGAATTTCTTTACTTTTACTTTTAGAAGGAAAGTTTATTTTCACTTCCACTTCACTTCGTCGGTTTCTCGCTTGTTGACACCACGTTGATTTGTTATTTTCATGTGGAAAATATTACTCCATTACATCCTTATTGCTTTTTCTCTTTTGTTTCCCTCTTTGTTGTGTTTTACTATGTTTTTGTGTTAATTTTTTTTCTTCTTGTTATTGTGTTATGATGTGTTGTTTTTCTTTTGTGTGTGTGTGTGTGTGTGTGTGTGTTTATATATAGCGTAAATGTAATTTAATTTGTTGTTCCTACCTTTTTTTTATATATATAAATATGTGTTATGTTAGAGCGTGTCTCCTCCCAAACCGAACACATGCACTGACACATGCCCCTTACGGGTTATTCCACAATTTACATGTAATCTGTACTTTTTCTTGAATTACGCACGTTGAGGGTTAAAACGGCTACTCTTCGGGTAGATTGACGCACACCCTTATACTTGTTAATTAATTTTTGTGGTTGTTTATGTGCTGTTCTAATTTTGATTTCATTCTGTTGTGAAACCTTTATTTTTCACGTTTTTACGCTCTGTGTGGCTACAAATAATATTCTGGATGCTTAAAACAGAGCACAAAGAATTTCTGGTGCTTTAGATTAAGTTGCCTCAAAATCAGCGTATGTCTGTATACGTCGTCACGGAGAGCTGAAAGCTTGAAAATTGATGGCAACTTTTATGGCAACTTTTGCCATTTTTGTGGCAACTTTCGGACCAAAAAAATGGCAACAAACGCAGATGCTAGTTTCTTTAAGGCCACATTACGGGATAGGCATGCTAACTAATCTCATTGAGCCTACCAGAGAGTTTTACAGCACATTTAGTACAAAAGAGCTGTTACTTCGCCCGGGTGCACGTATCTGGGCCGGGTCAACTGCTGATCGTGGGGAAAAGCGCGGTAAACAAAACAATTACATGTAATGTGTCCATTGTTTAAGGCATTTTCGTTGATCAGCGACAAGCATGGCTCCAGTTAGCGCGAAGTGTCAATGGTGTTCGGCTATAAACTGCACCAATTCCAGAAACAAAAAGCCCGAGTTTCTTTCTATTCCCAACGGATGACGAAAGGTAGATCTACTTAAGTAAAAATATATTTTGACGAATAGAAACAAAAACATAGGAGCAAAACAATGACAGTGTGATACTATGGTACTTCCAGACTGACATGCACACACTCCGATTTTGTTATATCAGCTATCAATGGCTCTAATTCCGACCTAAATACCCAAAATGAGCTTGCATTGCTACTGGTGAAAGATAATATGTTGCCTGCGAAAAGGTGTCTAAATTACAAGTTGTCATCGGTCGGTTTGGTACTTTCTTTGTCCGATTGCCACTGGGTTTTTTTTTTTGGAGGGGGGGGTGTTTGTTTGTTGTTATTGTTTTGTTTTTTTGGGTTTTTTTGTTTGTTTGTTTGTTGTTGTTGTTGTTGTTGTTTTTGGGGGGGTCTCGGGGATCCCATGGAACTCCTTATGTGGTAGATCTATCTTTTTTACTTCGTGTGCTTTTTGATGATCTGAAATTGTGAGTATATTTTACAGCAAACTCTCCTTGCGTTTTGGAGATTGTTTCTTTGTTTTGGTTTTCATTTAATGAGTACGAGCAACTCTGTAATTTACAGAGTAACTCCGAGGGAGGACGACAGCAGGGAGCCATGCGAATTCCCCAAAACTACCCTTGGTAATGAATCATTTGTAAGATTGAGAACCCTCTAGGAAAGGCACCGGTGTGCGTGTGTGTGTGTGTGTGTGAGAGAGAGAGAGAGAGAGAGAGAGAGAGACAGGCAGATAGACACACAGAGAGAGAGAGAGAGAGAGAGAGAGGCAGATAGACACAGAGAGAGAGAGAGAGATGGGGGGGGGGGGGGGAGGAGACACATACACACACACACACACACAAAGAGAGAGAGGGATTTTCAAAGATTCAAAGATTCAAAGATTCAAAATGATTTATTGATTTGAAAGGCCTTTGGCCCATACATCCACATATTTTAACATATGGTTCGTCAATTACATACATTGGTGCAGCACATTGGATGTTTAACATAAATTGGACATGCACGCCCACATACACGTATGCACGCACGCACGCACGCACGCACGCACGCACACACACACGCACGTGACGCACGCACCTACACTCATACACACTCCTGCTCACACACATACTTACATACATACATACATACATACATACATACATACATACATACATACATACATACATACATACATACATACATACATACATACATACATACATACATACATACATACATACATACATACATACAAACATACATACATACATACATACATACATTCATACATACATACATACATACATACATACATACATACATACATACATTCATATGATCAAATAGAAATAGAACTTCCACACAGTGCTATGAATGAGGCAGCGAGAGAAATCGGGACATGTTTCACTCTGAGAAGTGACTACTATTGTCTTTTTCATACACATATACATATAAAATAGTACCCATTACAGTAGATACAGAGTTACATATGCGAATGAATACCTTTTCCCTAGGACAGACGTGTCCGTATAACAACATAATTTAGGAATGAGATTATCTTTTTAGAATGGACTTCATCTGAACAGACTAATATGCCATTGAGCTTAGACATTGGCTCTGAGAGAGAGGGAAAGAGAGAGAGAGACAGGCAGACAGATAGACTGACAGAATGAGCGACAGAGGGGGGAGAAAGACAGACAGACAGAGGGTCGAGAAAGAGGGAGGTGAGAGAAAGAGAGAGGGGGGGGGGGCAGACAGACAGATAGGCAGTGCGAGAGAGGGGGGATAGAGAGACATGGAGAGAGAGAGAGAGAGAGAGAGAGGGGGGGGGCAGACAGACAGACAGAGACAGACAGACAGGCAGACTGTCAGACAGACAGACTGAGAGAGAGAGAGAGAGAGGGGAGGAGGGAAGAGACCGACCGATAGGAAAAGAGTGAGGACAGAGGGACACCGGAGAACGAGTAGTTTTGCTGAAAATGAAACAAATTATGCCTTTAATTGCGGTGATTGGCCTATTTTTTCCCCAGATCTATAGAGACAAAGTAATGTATGCGTCTATTAGTTTATTAAAATTGTGATAAATTAAGTTAAAAAAAAACAAATGTTACAACTTCCGGCTGAGGGAGGCAGGGGAGTTGCCTAAAATATGCGATAGAATTCACAGACCTAAAGGCCTATTTATCTAGTGAACTAACTGTTACCTCATACGGCACTACATTTTCTCATGGCATGACAGCATCCCGGAGCATCGCCGTAGCAGCGAATACCGCACGAAAAGTTTGTTCGCCACCTGAGCTGTGCGATAGGCAGAACAATGCACTGTTGTTAAGGAGAGCGCCACGAGTGACATCTCTCTTTTACTGTAAACCCTCTCTGGTCAGACAGACACGCTGATAGACAGGGCGAGAGGGTGTGAAAAAGAAAAAGAAAGAAAGAAAGAGACAGACAGACTGACAGGTAGACCGAGGGAGGGGGGAGAGAGAAAAAAGAGACAGGGAGAGAGAAAAAGACAGACAGACTGAAAGAGAGGGAGAGAGATGACAGAGGGACACTGGAGAATGAGTAGATTTGCTGAAAATTAAACCGATTATTCCTTTAATTATGGGGATTTTTTCCCCAGATCTATACAGACGAAGACAAATGTATCTGCGTCTATTTGTTTATTAGAATCATGTATGTTAACTTAAGCCAAAAACAAGTATTACAATTTATGGCCGAGGGAGGCAGGGGAGTCGCCTAAAATATGCGATAGAATTCACAGGCCTCCTTTCTTTAAAGGCCTAGTAACCTAGTGAACTAACTACAGACGGTACTACACTTTCACATGACATGACAGCATCCCTGTGCATCGCCGTGGCAGCGATCACCGCGTGTAAGTGTTTTCGCGCCCCGCGCCGGGCGATACGCGAAACAATGCACTGTTGTTATGGAGCGCCGCCACGAGTGTCACCTCTCTATTACTGTAAACCCTCTCTGGCTAAAGTTAAGTTAACTTTTTAATTGGTTGCCAAATTGCTAATAATTGAAAATTGGACAGATGAATCATCTATCTATTACGGGCAAGGACCTGTAACCTCCTTGATTGCGGTCCATCAGTCTACAAAGTTGCTCCTGCTTTGGCCTAACAGTTTTAGTGTTCTATTCAAGTAGGTGTAGGCTATGCTAGTAATTAGATCTATTACTATTCGCCCCTCCTACCCCGTCCTTCTAGCATCTTGATCTTGATGAACTAAGATCTAAAAAATTAAAATGACAACTTATCGAATCCTGGCCACCTGTTGACGTCCGCGAAAAACGAAAGTAGGAAGTGCAAACTGCTAGCCTAGCGTAAGTACTGATAATAATCGAACACGCTTGTCAGTTCATAGTGCAAAGACACGCCAAAGAAAGCATCATATATTCAATAGATCTACCAACAGATGGTTTAGTTTGTCTCGTGTTGAGTGTAAGGTAAAATATTTTATGAGATCATGGCGTTGTTGCTGACTGCCCTGAGTCTGAGTAGTCGGAGTATCACTAAAAATAACTAACAACTAAGACTTGAATAACTAAATTCACTGTCACTACTCAACTACTGAGATCTAAAAACAATCAAAACACTTTTTACACGTTGGTTTAAACTTAAATACTTCCATCGTCATTCATCCTGGGTTTTGAGTAAATATCAGATAAATAGAATCTATGTAGGCATATCTTTTATTTTATAAATTATTAAATCTAGATATAGATCTATGATCTAGATCTAGATAGATCTATAATCTAGATCTATATCTAGATATAGATATCTAGACTAGATTCTATCTCTATTAATTCATTTTAAAAACTATCCCATCTCCTGAGATCTCAGTTTACGTTAGGAGGGTCCAGACTTGTTCTAATCAGTGGCGGTGGGTGGACCAAGATTTAGGTGGGGCTTAGAAAGGTTTCTTCCACTTCTTTACCACCAAAAAGCAAGCGATAAGAACAAAAGAGTGATGATTTTTCTATACTCACGGCGAGCCATGGCATTTTTAGAACCATTCAAACGAGAAGAGTCACCTTTGTCTTCCATCTCTTTGTTCTACGTTAAATTCTTCTGGATGGTGGGGACGAAGCCGTTTCACCTCCAAATTTCTCTAATTAGTTTTTATCTGAAGAAAAAGTTTCCTCAAGAGTGGTTTGATGTAATTAATAACTCTGTTAAATCTCAGCCGCACAAACACACAGCATTCCAAACACATACCGTCCATGAGGTGGATTGGGTCGTGTTGTTGCGGAAAATAGAACGCGCCTAACAAAAGCCCAATGTCACTGGGGGGAAAGTGTGTCGTAAACTTTCACCCCATTATCAGGGCTGAGAGAGCACGAGCCCTCTGTGCAGTGTTATTTTTTAAAAGTCTTCTACCTTTTAACAAGAAGAGTTTCATTAAAGACAGGCGTGGGAACGGGCTTATTCTTTCTGAGCCCTAACGACATTTGATTGGCTGTTAGGCTACTATAGTTGTAAGCGGTGACAACAATGATTGGATAAACGGGCAGGCCGCCAAGCGGAACACTGTGTTCATTGCGTGCGATCATAACAGTTTCAACTGCTCGTTATGCAAGAAACGTTCATTAACTAAAGGGATAGAGTTGAGGTGGGGAGGGGGTGTGGGGCTCAAGCCCGTAAGCCCTTCACTACCCACCGCCACTGGTTCTAATCATGATGATCTTTTTGCAGATTAATAAAATATTCCCTTTACTCTTTAGCCTCTACTTTAGTACTCAATTTAAATTAGTAAGCGGCTATTCTCCGGCGTCGCACTGGTCAGTAGATTGATGGCTATTCTCCAGTGTCACGTACAGTTGCACACGTCTCTTCTCCACAGTCTTCCATTTCCCCTGTCGGCACGTTATGGCCTTATCCAAACTCTCATCAGGGTCAGCATTTCTTTAGAATGTGTTTGACCATAGGTGGACACGCAGCCGCTTCTCAATGAAAGCTCTAACTCTAGTGAAGGAAGAAGGAGGAATTTCTGTGTCAGAGGTGGCAGCACCAGAAGCGCCAACAACCCCCAGTCACAGTCAGACAAGAAGGCGCATCTGGCACTGAACTCAGTAGCAACAATAATGGTCATAATGTGCCAACAGGGGAGATGGAAGGCTGTAGAGAACAGGACACCGGAGAATAGCCATGTTCTATTGACTGGCGCGACGCCGGAGAATAGCCACTTGCTTTAAATAAATTTGGATGGGAAGTCAAGCTTTTATTTCATAGGATGTAATAATAATAATAATAGGCCTAATAATAAATTGCATTTATATTTGTGGCGTCGGTGGCCTAGTGGTTAGGCTCTCGGACTCGCAACCGTATGGTTGTGGGTTCGAATCCTGTCAGGGACCCGACGTTGTGTCCTTGGGAAAGGCACTTTACACGAATTTTCCTCACTTCACCCAGGTGGGAATGGGTACCCAGCTATAGACAGTGAAAGATCTTGTGAGTTTGTTAGTGTTTGAGCGCTTAATCAGCTGCTTGCACTGTATGCTTCCCGGGAAGCTGAGAATGTTTCTGAGTGTTCTTTGGTCTGCTGGGGTAATAATATAGTGTAAAGCGCATAGAGCTTGCTTTCTAGCGGGGTTATGCGCTATACAAATGCTATCTATTATCTATTATTATTATTATATAGAGCATTTCCACAAAGAAGTGCTCAATGCTCTATACAATAATACAAAGAACATATATTAATATGCTGCGCACAGCTCCTATAATACTCCTCTTTCTCTCTCTTTCACTCTGTCTCTGTCTCTCCTTCTCTCTCTCTCTCTCTCTCTCTCTCTCTCTCTCTCTCTCTCTCTCTCTCTCTCTCTCTGTCTATTCTCTCTCTCTTTCCAGTACATCCTTGAGTAAAGACAATCCCACAAAGCTTACCCAGACACCCTCGCACACATTGATGAATTCACAGTGATAAATTCTTTCTGAACAGAACAGCATGAATAAACGATACTGAGAGAACATAATATTTGTATTGGGAATGTCGCAAATTACAGATTGAAGCTGGACTGAAACAAATGCGTTTTTGAAGTATTGATTAAAATTTTGATAAAGTTGTAGACTCCCATAGATGAGCTGGTAAAGTGTTCCACAGGGAGGGGGGCGTGGTGTGAAAAAGCTCTCCCTCCGAGTCTCTGACTTTTGCTTTGGACAGGTCTTAAAAGTCTTTTCGTCTCCGATCTTAAAGGCCGAGATGGTATATATTCGATGGCCATGTCACAAAGATATGATGGTGCAATGTTGTTGACGCACTTAAAACAAAGAAAAATTATTTTGTACTGAATTCGTGCTTTCACGGAGAGCCAATGTAGTTGAATTAGCTTTGGTGTTATGTGCTCTTTGAGAGATTTCTTTAAAATTATTCCAGCTGCTTGGTTTTGGAGTCGCTGTAACCTATTTAACATTTCAGTGGGAAGGTTTCCAAACAAAGAATTGCTGTAGTCTAGACGTGAAAGGACAAAAGAAGAGATGAGGGTTTTGATGGAATCAACACTAAGATATGTTGACATTTGTCCTATTCTGCCCAGTTCTAAATAAATTACTTTACATAGATGGTTTATATGATGGTGGGGAGGACTTCCTTTACGAGCGACCGCTATGAGACAAGAGTAGAATATGGGGGTGGGGGGTAGGGGAAGGGATAGGGAATGGGGTAAGGTTAGGGATAGAGGTTGGGGTAACGGTAGGGGTATGAGTAGGAAGAGTAGGAGTACGGGTAGATGTTAGGGTTAGGTCTTGTTTTTTTATTGTGTTTGTTGGGGTGGTTGCTCGTTACGGAAGTCCTTCCTGATGGTGCCTTGAGAGTTTGCAGTCAAAATAAACGCCTAGATTTTTCGCTTTATCTGTGAAAAAGATGTTATCATTCCCAATACACGATGGTCAAAATTGCAAAGAATATCCCTGGTTTGGAATTGCAAAACTGAGCTTCGGTCTTATCATTCATTTTAAGTCTGTTTGATATCATAATATCATCCAGTTTTTTAACCTCCAAAATACATTTTTCTATGCTGGTAACTAGACAATTGTAATTTGTTGGTCAAACAGTCTTGTACAGCTGAGTGTCGTCCGCGTACATATGGTAGTTAACGTCGTGCTTCCTAATTATTGAACCTCAGGGCTTTGTATGTGTGGTAAGAAATATATTGAAATAAAAGTTATATATAACAATCTTTACAGGTCAAGACCAAGGAACTCCATCGACGTCCATACTTGTTAAAAGATGAGGAGGAAAATTTTTGTGTTGGCTGTTCTGCTTGTGGCGGAGTTTTGTGCAGCAGATAGAGGGAGGAAAAAGGAAAAAACTTCCGAGAAGTCCTCTGTCAAAACAGATTCAGAGAAAGAAGATGATGGAATAAAGAAAGCGTATCCATTGCTGCATAAGGAAGTGGTTGTGGTTGGCGCTGGTATAGCAGGGTTGGCAGCTGCTCGAAGGATTTCCAAGGACCGATCCAACTTCACTGTGACTGTTTATGAAGCACAGAAGAATAGATACGGAGGCAGAGTTTGGACTGATAAATTGACCAACATGAAAGCGAAAGGTATGTATATGCTCAATGTATGACTAGTCAATAGTGAAATTTATAAAACAGTAACTTAATTAGAAGCCTGCCTCTCTATTTCATCAGTGAAAAAATAAATATGCCCCGTGGTTTGCTTTGGAGATAAAATCGTCCAGTTAACATGCTATTTTATCTATAGAGAGGTCTTTTTTTGTGTGTGTATTCCCACTCTTTTTCGAAGAGCATTTCCAACAATAAGCTCATCAACTCACATTGTGACTGATTTTTATCATGTAGGCCTACCTTTCATAACCTATTTTTCTAGCAAAAACTTGTTTTCCCTCACCTTTGAGGAAGCAGCATGTCGTTTATAGAGTAGTCTAAAATTTTGTTTCACAAGTCAAGTTTTAAAATTAAGTTTCAAGGAAAAGATTTGACTGAAAATTTTGCCCAGGCAACATGCCTTGACAGGCCTGCTCTTCTTTAATGCACAACTGCAATGGTGTCTTTAACTCTATGCTCACGAGCTGCTGACTGAGTCAGGCAGTTTTTTTTTTATTATCAGAGCCACACTCTGCACTACTGAGATAGATGTAATTTTATGTAATTATAGTTCTCCTTCGTGAAGAGTTTTCATAAAATTTTTGGTTTCTCCAACTGCTGCTACACTTTAGCCAAGTATGTATTCACATTATGATGGTGCATCCATGATGTCAATTTGGTGCTTGTTTCATGTGGGGATATAACTTAAATATATAGATGCATTTAGAGGTACCATTGTTGTTTTGGTCTTTTATCCTCAAATTTTCAGTGGCTATTTATTTATATTTGCAGATCATGTTATTAGATGGAATGATATCTTGAAAATTTTTGTATTTTTATAAAAGATTGAATTTAACATGATTTGATTTTAAAAACTTTTTTTGAGGAAAAATGTCTTGCCTTTTTTTAATGAAACAATTAGGGCCTTCATAACATCCAAACAGATGTAAATACTTTATAAAGTACACAATTTATTCAGATTTATTTATTTCCTGACAATTAGGTGTAGTATAGACATTCTGTGATGGTCTACCGTCATACTCACTGCTGAGTAGTAATTTTTATACTGTCACTATCACCACCACACCTGATCCACTATTTTCGAGACACCAGTAATTTCACTTGGTGGTCTACTGATCGACTATGTAACCCAAACTCTGACCTGATGAGTGGTTAGGATCTGGGTTAGGGTTAGGATTGTTGATCATTGGACTAATAGACCATCAAGTGACACAGTTGTCAGACTTGTCTGGTGGTAGACTGTCAAGAATAACAGAATCATCGCAGTGGACTGGCACCTATAATTCTGTGTAAACTAATTGCTGTTGCTATTTAGGTTTTAAATATCAGATCTATAAGCTTGTGTTCTTCTCCCTTGCCTCAAGGTGTTGAAGTGGATCTTGGGTCATCGGCTTTCAATGTAATTTCGAAAAACAATCCATTGCTTGAACTGGCTGAGGACTTTGAACTGAAGACTTCTTCTATTGAGGGTCTACAGTTTATCATTCCGTGGGAGGGAAAGGTGTACAGTGGCTCAGACATTCAGGACATCACCAAGGAGGCTGGACAGGTAACAAAAGCATGTCCTGTGGGTTTTTATTCCGGCCTGTTATATCTGCTTTTGTATGGAATTTTGGAGTAGTAGACTGAATTTTTACTAGATGGCAGGTAGTATTTGGGGTTTTAAGCTTCCAATTTTGCATTTATATAAATGTTACTACTGTGAGTTATAATAAATTCTTTTCTGATGCTCTGAGTCTGATGTGGCCTCTTTCCACTAATTCGTTTTGTTCTTTTGCTATTTTCATAGAGTGTGTTCTTGGCCTTAAAATATGGTCATTTTCATGCGAAGTTGCTATATAATCTTTTGTTGACCAACAAACAATAATAAAAACAATGTAGCAAACAACTGATTATGGAAATCTTGCTTCTTTTAGCAGTATGTTTAGTTATTGTGTTCCATTCATACAGGATTGCTATAGACCCGTGTGTCTCATACATCTTTAACTGTTAGCTCTAGTATTATTTGTAACTGTTGTAATGTAAAGGCATTTTTATAGGAGCACGCTATCCATATTTTATTGTGACAGACTCCTTAATCAAGGGCTAGGTGTAATTCCAAGGAACTCTCTTTGAAGAATTTTGAAATAACTTCTGTTTCTAGTTGTGTTTTTATAAATCTACTGTAAATGTGTTTCCTCCAAGTAAAGGAAGGTTAATTTTGGTCCAGACATGTACAGCCTGCAAATCTTATAAATGTCTAATGAGAGATTCATGGCTGTGTTCTGATGGTCTTATTTATTTAGATCCTCAACCAGGCTCTGAATGAATCAAAGTCCTGGAAGTTTGAGCCCTCTGTGAGAGAAGCAGTGGACAAAGTTTTGCATGATGACTTCTCATCAGAAAGGTAACTGGGCATTTGCATTTTTAAAAATTAAAGACATTAACTCACTGACTACTGGCCCCTTTCACCAGTCACTAACGCTGAGTACTGGCATTTTTGGTGGTATTTCAAAACACAACCACAACTCTCAGAATTACCCTATTGTAATTTTTTTTTTGCACAGTAAAGTTACTTACAAACTTAATCTATTGCAAAATATTCAAGTCGTCTTGGACTAATACTTTAATTCTTATGATTGTTTAAAAATTGGCATGAATTTAATTTTTCGAAAAATTTCCATCCCACCATTTCATCCAAAGCGAGATTTTGGCTTGGATAGAAAGCGCTACTGAAGTTATCGAGGATCTTGTTGATAAAGAGCTCGATCTTCTCTTTGCCTTCCGCATGCGGGTCATCCGAGCAGTGGAGCATTGTATGCCAAATTGCTTCAAAGCGATCCCTGGGAAAGAGCTGATGGTACCAAGAGCAATAATCTGGGGCATTGGTAGACCAGTAATCACAAATGGCTGGCCTTTTGTTCAATCCCATCTGAATCGTAACAGCGAGGAATTTCAGCAACTCATAATCAGTGAGCAGTGTCCAGTTTGCAAAGACAGATCTTTTCTTGGGTGGATTGTTGATAGCAACTCTTGTGGTTGCATATTCATTGACCGAAGAAATAAGATTGTCCATGACTTGCTTCGTAAACAGAATGTTGAAGCAGTCAAGGGGTGTAGACTCCTCGGTGAGCGGAGCGAGAACACCTGGTCCCTGATGTGGTGCGAATCTGAAAGCTTCCACAGGGACATCCGAGCCTTCATTGATATCAACCCAGGCTGCAGGGCCTGCTTCTTCCTCTTGCCTAGGTCTTTTTCTGGGTCTAGATCTAGATGCAGTAGTGGGTGCAACAAACTGTAGGCCCATCCATTGTAGTGCTAGTGCTAGGACCAACGCTAGAATCAGCTAGCTTACTCTCACCAACAGTAGAATTACGACTAGTACTAGCAGGTTCGCTGTCAGTGTCACTACTTTGCTCATACACATCACTTGCATCATCATTATCATTCCATCCTATGCTATCATCAATGTTGTAGTCATTTTGCTCTTGTTCAATCAATTCCAAGGCTGCAACAGCCGTAAGACGACGATTGCGAGACATCACACTTGTCAGGCTTGTAGCTCTATAGATCTAATCAAGACTAATCAGCTGTTTACATTCACCACATAGAAACAAACCTCAAAATTGGCTCCAAAATCAAAAGCAGAAGCTTTCATTGGCCTCAGTTCGACAACTAACGGAAGTGACCTTTAGTTTATGTTGGATTGGTCACTGAAAACGTGGTTTTGATAAAGTGGATAGGATTTTATTGGTCTAATTCTCGAAAGCCGCTGTCAGCGGCGCGCCGTCATCAACGGAAAATCCCCAAGCCGCTGTCAGCGGCTCGTGGGAGGGAATCAGTTAAAACTGTTTTTATGCCATTGTTATTTGTTTAGTTTATAAAGTATTCCACCATGTTCGGTCAAAAAGGAAAATTGATATGGAAGCTTTGACTCATTTTTCCTCATTTTTATTCGTTGAAAGAGTCGTAAGTATCAAACTCATGGTAAGTGCATGGTTGGCAGGTGCTCTGGTGTGGTTTGCTCCTTCTTTCCCATCAAACATCTATCGTCTTAATCTCTCCCTTTTTTTACTCTTGTAACACCTCCAACAGCATTTATTTGACCGTTTTGTTTTGCAAGTGCCATAAAACTTTTCTAAAACACAAAAACTATTGGTAATGATCAGTAATGTTTCCACAGTACGGGCTCTCACCTAGTGAAGTGTTTACCTTCCTATGTCATCAAGGATTACTCAACCCGTCACTACAGACCTGAGCTCTTGGATATGGGATATGAAAAAGTTTTGCTGGATGGCACTGGAGAACTGCTGGACAGGTAAAGTGTTCTGAAATGTGGGTGTAGGTCACACTAGCAGCTTATCAACTCATAAATTCGACTAGAAATGTTTTAACATATATGGTAGTTTATACTCTTGTATCCCTTCTTTGTAAAGATGTACATCTTTTTGCAAGTCGGAATGGCCAGTCTGATCTTTCAAATTTCTGCCTCAGTTCCCATGAAGATTAACAGTGTTTCAGGCTGTTGTGTCAGTCAGATGCCATCTTTCTCCTGTAGTCATGGTTTATTACTTGGCTATAGGCTCAATGTTCTGTGGTACTTTGTATTTTGTTAAAAGTTCTGCGAGTGTTCTATAGTGATAAAAGGACTGACAGTGTTTATTGGAAGCCACATTTTGTGAGTTTGAATTAAATAAAAATTTGGACTGTGTCAGCAAGTCTTGATTGGACAATAGATTACTTTTAAAATGCACAAATAACACCAAACAATTACAAATAAAAATTGATTGTATCTAGATCTAGTATTAAACAACTGTTTGTTGAGTTTTTATTGAACAGAGGTGTTGTGTTGTACAAGTCCGTGTGTTTGTGTGAGTCAGAGCAGAGTTGTGTCTATCCCGAGTTGAAAGTCAAGAAAGTAACACACTGTTGCATTCAATTTGCTGAAGTACTAACCACTGAGAAAACAAAATAATAAACTCACCTGTTTCACTGCAATCATCGTCTTCATAGTCAGAATCACGGAGAAGAAAAGCGATAAAAACAGCCGTTTTTGTCGAGATTTACAATTAACATCGACTTGTTTTAGGTTTTACACACTTCACAAAAACCATTTAAACACATATGTAGCGCTTGTCAACCGGTATAAAACTATATTTTTTTATAGATAAATGAACAGAGAAAAATTATTCACCGAAATTTAAAAATACGATAAAAAATCAATGTTGAGTGGTTTTTCAGCTTTCGCTCGATTCGATGATCAGTGACATCCGCCTACTTTTCCCAGGCACACACACATTTGGTTTCTTGGGGTTTAGGGTCAAGTGGGGATGTAGGGTGTGGTTGTTACAGTTAATGCTCTGATGTGATCTGTTTCTCATTTTTGTTTTCCAGAGGACTATATCTTAGTCCTAAAGAAAAAGAACCATCATCATATCGACCCTGTAAACTCCTTGACAATGAAATTTTGGAGTGTTTGTGTGCTCCCTCTGGTGCACAAGACTAAAACATGTAAAAATAATTTCTAGTCTCATTATCTTGCTTACAACAGCTTTTTTTTTTTTGGGGGGGGGGGGGGGGGGTTCAAGATCTTATAATGAAAGGCCTATTCTCAAAGAAAATGGGGATGAGCTTGCGCTTTTACAGAAAATATTGTCTGCTTGGAACGCCAACGTGAAGCCTGATTTAGCAGGATGCTGTTTAGTTAGTTATAATAGCAGTTTGTGAATTGTTTCATAAATTTGCTGCTGTTCAATTGCAGGTTAGTGAGCGGCTCCTCTGAGGAACCTCCTTTGCACTTACAGCTGAACAAAGCTGTGAGACAGATCAAGTTTGACAACAGTAAGGGCAAGGTCATCATCAGGTTTCGTGATGGCTCACAGAGACAAACAGATGTGGTGGTAGTTGCCGTTCCCTTGAGCATAATCGCGTCTCAGGACATTATGTTCGAACCCGATCTCCCCAAGAACTATCAAGTTGCTGTGAGTGAAATGGGTAAGGAGGACGGAAATTTGGTTGTTTTTTATTGCATCATGACTGCAACCCATAAAAGAAATGATTTTCTTACATCTTGTCTTCTTTCTTCTATGCTCCCATGCTATATAGTGTGAGGTGTAACAAACTGAAGACTCTTCAACTTCAACTCACGGTGCAAGTGGTTTTAACCCCCTATTTTTCCATTTATCATAGTTGGTTGGAGGGCGCTCACATGTTATCTGTTCCTTCTGATTTGTTTTTCTGTCTCAATATCCCAGCATGTTCCTGGCAAAATATGGCTCTTATCTTACCCTTGGACTGCAAACTATTTTGCTCCACTCAATTTTAGGCTGAAGTTCCTTTTGATGTATACCGGGGCATGAGGCATTTTCTCCATGCTGTCAACGATTGCATCATCAGCAAGCTGTTAATATAATGTCCTGAGCCCAGAAAGCAACATTTTTCAGGAGAGGGGAAAAAACTTTAAAGTTTTTTTTTACAAATTGTACCTACGTTGTGTATCTTTTCCTGCTTTATTTCAACATTTAGCTTTTAAATTTGGGCCAAATATTTCAAGAGGATTTGATCTGTAATTGATGTCACACATTAAAAAGTTGCGACAAAATCGAATTTCAAAACTTTGGGCTTAATATATATCTGATCAGCTTGCAGACGATATACTTCAAGGTAGTTCACTTCTCTATATGGGAAGCCATAAAAGCGTCTTAAGAAACACTGCTTAGGACATAGCTTAACTATTTGAAGACACACTATTAGGGTGTTTTTCAAAAAGAGGTTTAACTTCATTATTCAAACAGGTTTTTCAGTTCTGTTGTCTTCATCTAAAACTTTAATAAAAAGGCTCTAAATGCATACTATGAAATATGCAAATTCATGTTTCCTGGTGTGTGTATAATGGTCCGAAACATTCATTAACACTTGCAGTACCGTTGGTGACTTAAGTCGCCGGCCCTTAATTTCTGCTCAGTACTCGCCAACTCAACCAGGCACACTGAATAACGAACAGAACTTCTCTACGGAAGTAAATATCAAGGGAAATCACTCTATATGATAGCTGAATCGTTGATGTAGCCAGGTGACCCCTACCCCCTTCAATAGCAAATATCTCGACTTCTATTCAAGATAGCCTTTCAGCCAAGTTCACAAGGTTGCAAATTTTGGAAATGGAAAGAAAAAGCCTAGAAAAATGTGGTAAATTTGGTATCAATGTAAACAGGAAAGAAAAGTGAATTTGATGGTGTGGAGGAAGCCAGCTTCTGCTGTTGTGAAGTAAAAATTTCAGTTTGGAATACCTAGTACTATGTTTGATATTATAGACATGTCATATTGCTTGAATTCAAATGTGTTTGACCTCAATATAGAATGGCAGTTGTCAGAACAGTACAGGAGGCAACAGGGTACAACATACAGAAAACATAGTGTGCTACCTTTTGGGAAATTAATGTGTTGCTTAGATCATCTTTGTGTTTGTAGTCAATCTTTGTGTTTGTAGTCAATCTTTGACTGTTGTGGTTAAAGGACGATCCTGAAAAGTTTTACATCTTTTCGTCTCCTCTGTCTGCCTACTTCCTTTGTTTTTTGGGGTACTAAATGGTTATCTGTTTACTTTACTTCAGTTTTTACTTTTTTTCTGGCCTCTGTAACCTTGTGGTGTTGAGGGTAAAGTTGTATTGCCTGTTGCATGGTTATGTTGTTCTTGTCTAAATGGGTTTTTTTTTTAGCCCCTCTATCCATCTTTTCTTGAGCCTGCCCCTTATTCAGTTTCCGAATGCTTCTCATCAATATAAATGAATTATTTGCAGGAGTACTCACAAGCAACAAATTGATCCTTGAATTTGAATCTGCCTTTTGGCCGTCCGACTTTGGAGTTTTCCTGAGGGCTGTACAGGAAGACCAGGACAGGGGTTACATGCAATCTTGGATCAACATCCATCGCCTTGTTGGACTTCCAGTTCTCACCACGTTCGTCATGGGAGACTCAGCAATTGGCTTTGAGAAGATGACAGATGATGACATCAAACAGTCAGGTAAACTGCTGTCAAGGTTCTATGATATGTAATATCAACATTTTTGGTTTCTGAAAATGTAGTTAGATCTTTAAACCTTGCTACATGTTAACTCACTTGAGTCTGAAATATTTTTAGAAACTTAAGTCTGTGTATTTTGGGATTATAAAATTTCTCGAAAATGTAATTACTGACACAATATTTGCACGCACAAATAGCGCATTTACATGAGAAGTAGCTCATTAACAATCAACAAAACTGACAAAGAAACAATTTACAGTTTCTGGTTAATGACCTTTCTAAAATTGACAAAAATAAAAAATTTGAACATGAGCAGAAACTTTTTTTTTTGGAATTCTTATCAAACATAGAGGTAGTAGTGAATACAAAAAAAAAATAATATAAATATTTATTCTGATGTTAATGGAGAAAAGAAAGCCCATTTGAATACATACCCTTCAAGTTTTCTAAAGGAGCAACATTGTTAATTTTTGTAGGGAAATAAAGAAGAAAGCAAGGTTCAATGCAAGAGGAGGAAAATGTAACAACTCTTATCAAAACTAATCTATCTATTATCTAAAATTTCCACAGCTCTGGATGTTCTAATTGAGATGTTTGGCAAAGACACAGTTAGCAAAGGCGGTGATGTGGTTAGACTACAGAGATCCCAGTGGGTAACAGAGGAATTTTCCAAAGGGTCGCACACATACTCAAAAGTCGGTAAGGAACTTCAGCATATTCATAAAATTACTTTTCTTATCATCAATGATGTAGAAGACCTGTGAAAATCAAAATGTGTTGTAGCTCAACATTCCTGTTTGAGAAACTCAGTGATTTTGTGAGATGCTGGTAAGCTTATCAACTGGCAGAGAAAACAATTTTTAATGGTCATTTAATTCAAGTTTCTTCTTGTTCATCTCTAAATGAAATGGACATCACAGTCTCTAGTACAAAGGCTGCTGTTTGCCGCAGGTTCTCTTGGCTCCCAGAGTTTTGGGTCTCTCTGCCTAGAGTTGGACCAATATTTCCTTCACTAAATTGAAGTTGAGAATAGAAGAATTTAGTTTGCCTTTTCATGCAAGTGGAATTAGGAAAGGG